GCTTAATATGAAAAGTAACTCTAAAGATTGAGGGTTTTTTTAATTGAGGTTGCTTAGAGAAGGTAAGAGTGAGAGAGGATTTACAGGGCTATTTGGATGCACTTAACTCTGCCTCCCCTCCCCTCATTTTTTTGTTTAAGGCAGATAGTTTCGAAGATGCAACCAGTGTTTGCAGCTTTTAAGGGCTATAGAACAGACAATTTAAGAAGTTGAAAAATTATCCTTGAGGAGTAAAATAGAAGAAATTAGGCAGATGGGATGAAATCTGTGCCTGGGGCAAGAGAATTTAAGTGAATAAAGTTCCACTTTTGACAGATAACATTTGGTTTTGGCAACTTCTGATCACCCATCAGTTGCACATCATCAGCAATTTCCTATTCTCAGTTCTTGTAGCCTGAAACAAAGTATTCTGCTCAACACCGTCATGGAAGAGAAATTGGCAGAGGGAAGCAAAAGCTGACAGACATTAGCAGAAACCTGGTATCTCTTGTCTATAATGATTTCTTGTGCGGTACAAGAGATGGGTCTGGGAAAAGAGCCCTAACTTAAATGTATTTGTCACATGATGACAGAAGAGGCAGAGAGCCAGTCTGTTCCTACAGGATACCTTCATGAGCTACTCTTTCACTCTTTTAAAGTGCATTTTTGATAAATACTCTTCTATCTTCCGCACTAGTCAAAATGTTGGTTACCTTGAACCAGACAGATTGTTACAGTGCATGTTTATTTCCCAAATGACGTGAAGAACACATGTCCATTTGCTACTCCTTTCTAATTTCCTTATTCACAATAAATCTCACTCTGTGCTGATATTTCATATAACTTCCACGTGCCAAGGTTTAACCAAGAAGTTACCTTACATATTTAGTGGGTTGTTGGGGTGTCAGTAAGTCTGATGACCGTCCATGAGTATTCCTTCTTGCTTTTCTACTTCAATTTTATTTTCTGTTGCCAAGTCAATATTTTGTGCATTGGACAATGAAATCTGCAAAGAATCCTATCTAAAATGGTTTTGTTCATTGTGAAGGACGTAGGTGATTGAGGTAACTCAGCTGGATGAGGAAACTTGCTTCACCTCCCGCACACCTGGGAATAGGCAGTTATGGACATCACCTGTGGAGGGCTCTGATGCAAGAAGAGCCATAGTTTGAGGTGCTCTGCTCACCGAAGGCCCGTGTGAGCATGCACTGTGCTACAGGAGTCCAGCACCCTCTGGGCAAGGATCTTACGGCCTCCTAGTGATCGTGTGCCTCCAGCTGCTGAGCATTGGCCACTGGACAACACTGCAGTACGGAGAGTTGTGCGCTTCTAACAGAGCTTCTTAACGCTACCTGAACATAGTGTTTTGATGGGTTCAGATTATGTGTGTTCTCCCCTACTGTATTCACTTTGTTCTCTGCTAAACTGTAATGTAAAAGTTAGCTGCAGAATATAAAAAGCAGGGAGGTTATTTTCCTCCTTGGAGGATTTCAGAGATGTAGTTTTGATTTCTGGTGTTAGATGTGTTGCTTCTCTCTGTAGTCAATCACTAGAGATTTGAAATTCCATCAAATCCTATTCAGGTTAAGGAATTCCCCCAGAGTAGCATAAGATCCAAAAATAATTCCTCCTTTAATACGGTAGATTATGGGAAGATGCTCTGTCTGTATACAGTTTAACTCTATTTACTCCAATGAAAATATTTCTTGGGTTTAAGCTGTCTGAGAGAGGAGTCAGGTTCAATGCGTGTGTCCAGGGACAGCAGTGATAGAAGCTGAAAGGTGAATAATGATTTGGTTGTTTCAGATTCTTGGAGAATGTATTTTGTGGAAGAGGAAACTTTTATCAAAAAGATGTACAGATGTTATTGCATTGTTGTCCTGAGAAGAGTTTCTCAGACATAAAAGTCTTGTCATTCGCACAGAAGAGGTGTAAATTACATTTCACACTTCTGTCTAAGAACCAGGAGCCATGTAACTTGCCTTTGCTGTTGGCTAAAGAAGCATTAGAAACACAGGAGTCTGGACTCTGAGGTGTTAGTCCAGATTGACATTGGTTGATGATATAACTTGAATCTTGAATCTTCTACCTAAAATGTGCATACCTAACCTCAAAGTGGGATCTTGAAGCTTAATTAAAGCTTGTGAGGCATAAATATATTTTTGGAATAAAAAGCCCACATATTTTCAGTAAATAATCTATGGCCTTTCTAAAGGACTAACACTTGGATAATCTGTACCCGTCTTCATGTAACCTGCACAAACAGAGAAATCTGAGGCAGGGAAAGTATCTGGGTGCCAGGATTATCCGGAAGATCAGAGAGTCAGGGTATTACTTGGCTACATGTTTAGCTCACACGGCAGCAGAATTGCAGACTTGTTTGGTTTTAACCATTAAGAGATAACCTGTTGGCCTTGTGTGAGAAATGCAGCCTCCTATAATGTATATTTACTAGCTGCAGCCTGCTTCTGGATTTTCCATTTTCCAGCCAAAGGGCCATTGCAGTAAATGTCCCTCGCGTGGGCAGGAGCCTGGCCTCAGGCAGAGGGGAGCTCTGCCCCACGGCGCGGGCTGCTCCGCGCGTGGGCTCTCAACGGGGGCCGCTCTCCTGCGCCTGCTCCGCGCGGAGCCGGGCTCTGCTGGGTGCCACAGCCTGACCCCACAGTAAACTAGGGACATCATCAAAGGTAATTTCAGCCTTGCAGTTTGGCTTTTTAAAATATAAGCAGCTCCTATATAGGAGTAGATTAAAATGGATTAGTTACTGTGATTTGGGAAGTGATGGGTATTGATGCCACTTGAAATGCTGTTTTATAAGTAGAGGTGTATGATCAGTGGAGGTCAGTCTTATGGTGACATATTGGTTATGTGGATGAGCTGGAAGTTAGTAACTTCTACCACTGAATTATTTTCATCCTGCTTTTCATTGTGGATTTCGAATGCTGCAGAAACTCATTTACCAACGAGTTGTTTTTCTCTTGGGGTTGCAGATGCTTACTGAAAGAATACACTGCATCTTTTAGTGCTCCTTGCGTGCAACCTTTCTGTTCATCTGTCCACATAACTAGTGACCCAGTGGTATTGTTGCATGGTAATTCAGAGAGTTTTAAGTAAATGAAATGAGAAGTTACTAGCAGTAACTCTGCTTTTGCAAGCTGAAGTAATAATGGAATTCTGAGTGGTATCTACAATTTTAATATATAAAATGTATTCCCTGTGGCATACCCTGTGGCATATGTTATGGTGCCTCTGCTCCAAGTACTGTGATCTTCTTGGGCACTAGTAACGCTCTTGAAGTCTTTGAATGGTGGCAAGCTGAACAGACCAAAGCATAACAAGCTAGGAGAAGAGGAAGGGTAAGGTTAGCACGAGCTGACTTTTCCAACAGACCAGGACAATAAGGTAACCATGCAAAGGAAACTTGGGAATCAAAGAGCTTTATGCTCCATTTTGCAGTCAAGTTGTCGGTGTTTGTCTTGAAACTGTTCAAATCCTTTAGGCAACACCTATACCTAACTGACACGTGTGTCCATGTGTACGTAAATGCTTTATTTCGGTATAAAACGCTACGGTTTGTTTCAGAGAAAATATGACGTCCTCAGATCTCTCGTGGTCAAAACTCTTAGTTTGTTTCTTTACAGGGGACTTGGTTAAATATAGAGAGACTGTGCTGTGTTCTGCAGTGTAAAATCTATTCCTCTTCTGAACATTTTGCAAAAGCTATGCCCATTGGAAAGGATTTGTCTTTTTATTGATCTTCTAATATTTAGTAGTTTTATCTGATGCTTTGAATTTGCCTGTTATCTGCGCACTTTGTTAGGCATACCCTTGAGCAAATTACTTTTCTTTTATGATACTGGTATTTTGGACTTCTTAAGGTCAGGCGGTTGAAACAAATACTATAAAAAATTCAGATTTTTATTGGCGTTTTTAGTAAGAGAGCATTCCCTTACAGTGTCTACAAACCCAAGTATTGAAGCATTGAAAGCCTGATAATCAGTGTCCCCTAGACAAGACAGGCTTCATGGATTTCTCATAATCTAGTGCTGGAGGAGAAATTGCACAAAGTAGCAAAGTATAAATAGCAGAAAGTAATTTTAAAATTATTTTGATCATTGAAGGCTGGCCCTCATTGTTATAAAGTAGGTTCTGTAATTTTAGCCATTTGAAGATGCATTTAAGCACCAAAATATATATGACCTATTCTCCAGGAGCAAAAACAAGACCTCGAAAGGAAGGGTGGGTGGAAGGCAGTGACAGGATTTGATGAGGGGTGAGTTGCCTTCTTACTAGCAGGAGAAAGAAGGTTGTTTTCTTGGAACGAGCCTTTGTGGTCTGGAGTAAAAGCAAGGTGGGCATCAGGATGGTGGCTGGGAAAGGGACTTGGCGTAGTATTAATGGGAAGTTGAAGTGCAGCTCAGCAGCTTGAAAATAAGGTGCTTGCAAGGCTGCCTTTCTCCCCTCAGTACATGCTAATGTTTCCATGTGGGAGTATTTAAAGCTCTCATCTACCTGTAACTTGGTTAAACACACCTCTGAAAATAGAGTTCCACAGGTGTGTATATATATCCACATAGATTGTGTCTATCTTATATGAGTTTGTGTAATACCTGTATATGGAAGACAGAACAGGCAGCGCCGCGCTGGGGAGAGCGGCCGCCCGCGCGCTGTGGAGCTGCCCCCGCGGCCGCTGCGGGGGCCGGGCCAGTCCCCGCGTTCCTGGCAGAGGTGCAAGTGCAGGGGTGAAGTGATGCAGCTGCACGAGGGCTGGTCTGCAGCGGCTAGGCCAGGCGGTGGCTGCCACAAACCGCTGTGGTTGCTGTTAGGCTTTCTGCTCTATGCAGGCATGGCACGGTATTCACAGAAGTGCAGGCATTCACTGACGCTGAGATGTCACAGGTAAGCAGTGCGCTACACAGGCCTCTGGTGTTTTCTGAGCTCACTGAAAAGCTTAACTTCCATGTTTTGCTCACACAATTTTCTAACTTCTTTAAAAGATTTTTCTTCCTTTTGTTTTTTAGTTCCTCCAGGAGTGATACAAAATGGAGCTCGAGTTCTGAGTAGAGGAATATTCCCTGGAGCCAGGCCGTTGCCAATCAGCCCTATAGGAAGCATGGCTGTTGCAGTAAGGTAAGAGTGGCTTAACACCAGGATTTTTATGAGCAGACTAATATATTGCAGCGAATGTACAAGTATATCCAAGCCTTGGTCAACAGAAACTTGTTGCTGCTTGTTGCTGCTTCTGAGATTTTAAATGAAAAAAAAGCTCTGCCATCTAAAATTTACTTATTTTTATTCTTCACACCATAGTCATGTCATATCTGTCTGTTGCACTCTGGCTTGTTACAAGCATGGTTTAATTTTCACTAGCAAGCTGCAGGTAGGTTATGGTGAGACCTGCCTAGGGGACCTCTTTTCCTAAGTTCAGGCATCTCTCTCCCCTCCCGCCCCAACGTGTTTCTTGTAAAGACAGTTTCCTGAATCTTTCCCTGGGATTAAATACCACCAAGAAGAATACCAGTAATGTTGTTTAAAGTTAATTCTGAAAGATCTCTAAACATACAGCTGTCATTATTAACTTGGGTCTTAGTGAGGTAGTTTCTTTCATTACAGGTTCTATTTCAAGGTTACAGAGAAACATTCAAGGATAAAACATTTAAGACAGTCAACTCTTTCCGAAAGCAGGGCAGTAAGAGACATCTAGTGATGGTAACAAGAACTGTGATTCAGTCGTTTGCTTTATTTAAAGCAGTGATGGTCTGTTGTTGGAAGAATGATTTGCCTCAAGTGTAGCTCTGTTTCCAGTCAGCCACAACAGACACACACACAACACACAACAGGTCGTGTGCTGCCAGCGCCCCTGCTTTCAAAGCTCTCACTATCTGCAAACACCGTTTCAGCTGGGCATCCCTGTTTGAAGCGTCTTAGTCAACAGTGACCGTGTTTTGCTGGGTTCTTCCAGGTCCACACGCTGAGCTGAGTACGGGTGTGTAGGACAGTGACGTCAGATATCTTGATGACTCTTTATTTCATTATTACTTACTTGGATTTTCTCCCCATCTACCTTTATATTTTTATTCCTTTTTGGAATCAGTGTCTAGTCCTTTGGATGCAATTTTTCTATCCAGTCAATGGGGAAAGAGAGAGAGGGAAAACCTGTGACCTTCTTATACCCTTGATACTTCAAAATGCACAGAGGGGAAGACACTAATTGCTGTAAGATCTGTGGGCTTTGATAGGCAACTGTTTCAACTGCATTTGTATTTGACATGCTGAAGGCGTGCGAGCCCGAGGGTCGTCCTCCAGGAGCCCCGGGGCCCTGCGCAGCTCAACCATCTTCAGTAGTTTCCTGTTTTGCTTCTAGGCAGGGTTTGTATTCTGCTCCAGTCAGTGCAGATTGCAGAGCTGGGCCATTACTGGGTCACTAATTATATGTATTTTTATGAGGTGTTCAAGGTAAAGTGAATACATTGTGGACTGAATGCTATCTCGTGAGCTTATCTGAGTTCCTGACTCAAGGCTGTTTCTTAGAGGAGATCACCTGTTTCATAACCAGGGATAACTTAAGGAGGAGAGAGAGAACTGTTTTTCCCTCCTGGCCACTCAAAAACATCCTTCTGTGTGGACACCCCAAAACTGCTATGCTGTAAAGGCTGTATCTAATTAACTTTGCATTTTTAGAGCGCCTTTTTTTTTTCCTTCCTGTAGGTTGAACAGAATCTTTTCCAGCTACCAGCTAATGTAGATTTGAGAAATTAGGGATTTTTCCTCTCCCTCTGTAGTTAAGTTCTTTTTACTCTGTCTCGGAGAAAAGCACTTATAAGTAGTTAAATGCAGACATATTTCTAATTCTTTTTGTTCCCTTCTGCAGCCTTAGGCAGTATCAGAAATAGCGCACTATGGATGCATTCCTACTCTGCATGACGTCTGCTCATATTTAAGGGCTCCTGCAATATTCCCTCCCCTCCACTTTTAATTCTTGAAAAAGGCAGGGAGAAGAAAAAAACTGTGAAAGATTTTGGGAAGTTAGAGGGTCATCCGTCGTTAGTGGACTCTTTGCAATAGGGCTAGGTCAGCAGGCAATTTTATCTTGTGGCTTTTTATTAAGATTTAGAATTTCCCTAGGAAGGAGGTTATATGTGCAAGGTACCTCTTAGAAAATCGTTTGGCCCTCTTCAAACCAGGTATGTCTGTCTTTGTAAAAATGAGACCCCATTAATCCTGTCCATTCTGGGAGAGGAATAATCACCAAGAAATAGGGTATATCTTGATGAGTTTTCATGGCATTTCATGAGAATCCGTAAAATCTCTCCTTATCATGGGGAATTTGTGCTGTACCCATGCAGCCCTCCTTTTTAGAAATGCTCTGCCTATATGTTCAGGAAAAGCCATAAAAGTGGTTTTAATGAGTTTTTCATATTTCGGGTTAGGAGAACTCTAACATTTTCTTGGTAACAGATCCTTGTATAATAAACTAAACCTCTCACATCTGTTTTTCTTAGTTACCCTACATAGAAGATATTGGTCCTTCTTTAGGGTGCTTGGGTTCTGCTAGCACTTCCTTCCTGTCAGGGCTATCTGTTTCATTTTGTGTTTATTTGCTCATTAACTTGGGTTATATTGAGCTTTGTTTTCCCCCAAAGTGTGGGAATGCCAGTTGCCAGTGATAGTCCAACCTCGGCATAGTCACAATGTGCATTGTAAACAAAAGTTGTAGGTGTTTGCAAGTCAAAGTCCATGTATTTGAAGCAGCTTGTTTTAGGATAGCCTGGAGTATTCACAGGTGTGAAACTTATTTTTATCTTTTTCATGTAGTCTATTCAATGCTATGGTAACAATTAAGGATCCTAGACTTAGCTATACATAAGAGTACTTAGCCTCTTCACTGATTGTCAGCCAAACCCTTGGAGTTACTCTCAGAGAGCAGGACAGACAAGAGATGACCACTCTCTTGCTGCTTTTATAACAGATCTGCCTTAAAACATAGAAGAACATGAATAAATTTTTGGACACTTGTTTGCACAGTTTCTGTATCTTTGTGCTATCTGTTCTTATACTGCATTTTGTTTTTTTCCTGTCATTTAGTTAACTAAACCAAATGCTGTGCTACAGATGCAGTCTGGCAGTCTTACCCAATGCAGTACTACTTTCTGTTATATCATTTGAGTTCCTCACAGTTTAGGGCTATATAAACCAACGACTTCTCTCTCTCTCTCTCTTTTTTTTTTAAAGCCTTAGTGCATATTCAGATACTATTCGGATGCAGACATGACAATTTCCATATTTCACTGTCCTAATAGACTCTTGGTTTTGTTATTTCCCCTCTGAAGTATTAACATGTTAGTTAAGCTGTTCTTTGTCTGCATTTACGGGGTTGCAGTTTGATGTCGTGCTGAAGGATACAGCCAAGTGAAACATGCAAGTCTATACACTTAGCAGAAAGATTTCATTTCAAGAAGACTGCATGCAGATAACTTGCTGTATATTATCCAGTTGTGTAGACTGCCATTAGTCTGTCAAATGAAGTTGACAGGAAGTTTGGTCTTGGGTTAAATTTACAGGGTTAATTAGATAGAATGTTTTGTTTGATTTCTTATTTAGAAATGAAGCCAAAATCATAACATTAGGACTAAGATACTGAAATATGTGATTTCTGATCTGTTAGCTCCCATCAACTGGAAAGTTTACTGTGCTATTCTTTTTCAATATATCCAATGTATTAGCATCTTCTTGTTCCTGCAGAAGGTATCAACGTGTTGCTGTTCCCGTATAATTATGTGTAATTACTTCGTCTTTTAGGTATAAAATAATGTATGATGGAACTAAGTAGTTTGGAAAAAAAAAAGAGTATTGAAACGTATTAAAAAATGCAACAAATCCACCATTTCCCATGAATAAAGAATAGCACATCATTATGTTGTAGTGCATTTGGCTTAAGTAGCACAAATAGTCCTTTTGTTCCAAACTAATCTACAAATGGAAAAGGCATCCCACACTATTTTCACTTTAAGAATCATCCTCTGGGGTTAAATCTCCGCAGCAGAGCATAATTGAGTGTGTTTTGACAGTAGTTTTTTATTTACTTTATTCTCACCACTCTTAGCTTGTTTACCATCCATATTTTCCATGTTGTGGCTGACAAGTCTAAGACCCAGCAGAAGACAGCAGGGAAAAGTAACGCTTCAAAGCTGCACAGCATGTAGCATGTCTGTAACATGAGATCCATCATATATATTTTTGGCAGACCATATCCCCATACAGTTACCCGAGTGAATATAAAAACAAATGCAGTGATAGTCTGTGTTTATAGAAAAGAAAATGCTGCCTTATAAAGGTACTTAATGAAAGCAAGCAAAGCCAGTAGTACCATGCATTTTGGTGGCAAAGTGCTGGTTGTGTGTTTAAGGTGAGCTCTTGCTCTTACTATGTATATCTATTAAAAACTTTTTATCTATTAAAAATCTTTTAAAGGCCTGTGTAGGAGGACTTCTGTATCTACCCCTTTCGCAGAAGCACCATCTTGACAAAAAATGGGAGGTGCTTGAGCCAGTTTGCATCTTGGCAAGGTGTAGGAAGCTCTGTGGTATGTAACCAAGTTCCAAATCAGGGAGGTTACAGCAGCCCTTTGGGGAGCACAAGCTTGGAAACTGATACACTGTTAGAGCTCTTTGAACTACGAATTCAGTGCATGAAGGGCACAGCCTCTCACCACGACGCTTGTAGTTTTCTTAAGAGATCCTCAGCGTGTCTGTGTCGCTGTCCTTTTGCAGCGTGGCCTACCTGCTGAGGCAAAGCCTGCACTGCCTGTCGTGGGCAACTGCACCGGGGCGAGGCTGATGGGGCTGGGCCCGGTTTACAGCACAGGGAACCTCACCTGTTTGTGACAAAGACCTTGAAATTCTGTCCCGGATGGTCTGTGAAAGATCACAGAATCACAGAATGCTTAAGGTTGGAAGGGACCGCTAGAGATCATCTAGTCCAACCCCCCTGCTCCAGCAAGGACACCTGGAGCACATGGCACAGGGTGGCATCCAGGCGGATTTGGAAGATCTCCAGAGAAGGAGACTCCACAACCTCTCTGGGCAGCCTGTTCCCTGGAACACAGCCTGTTCTCTGTCACCCTCACAGTGAAGTTCTTCCTCACCTGGAGATGGAACTTCCTGTGTTTCAACTTGTACCCATTACCCCTCGTTCTGTCACAGGCCACCACTGAGAAGAGCCTGGCCCCATCTTCTTTACATTCTCCCCTCAGGTATTTGTACGTGTTGATAAGATCCCCTCTTAATTATGCCCTCCTTTATTTTTTATTATTTTAAGGATATTTCACAAAATATCCTTAGCAGTGTTTATGGCGAATACAACATTAACAATTCATAGACCAGATTTTAAAATACCAGAACTCTTTTCAACTATTACTGCTGCCAGTGCTCCTGCAACTCCTGCTCCTTGGGGTGCAACAAGAATAAACTTCACGCCTAACTTTATTTGAAGAGATGAGACAGTTATTTATTACTATTTTAACTTTAAATGTACAGGCCATTTACCAGATTGTATTGCATTGTGATGGATTTATTTCTCCCAATAGCTGTATTTTTGTCTATTTTTTTCCCTTGAATCAGCCATTCAAACAGTGATTAAATAAACCAGATGTAAGTAATGTGTAGCATAGATGCCAAAGCATAAGCAAAATTATATTCTCACATTATCTATGAATTTTTGCTTAGGTAAAGGAACTGGTAGATACTTTCCTTTGTAATTTCTCATGTATGTTTTCTTAATGTCCTTGTTTATTACTAGTATGATCAGCTTAACAAATGCCAGGTATCACTGTTGCGTTGCGTTCCCTTTTTCTCCCGTACTAAGCAGGACGAGTTATTCTTAGGAGTTGAAGGAACTCTGGGAAAATAAAGAACAAAAATACTGGAGAAATGGAATTTTTTCTTTTTATTCATAATGAAGAGGGCTGCATTTGCCTTAACTCCAAATTTTCTGTTGTTGCTGACAGAGTGCTCTTTTGTTGGCAGTTCATGGCTCCTATTTACTGTGGTCCTTTGCATAGAGTTATGCTGTGAAGTATCTTTGCAAGGACTTCTGGTAGGATTGTGGCTGGCTTGTTGTTGACTCCTTACTCAGTGCTACCTGGTAGAGTCTCATCATGTAGCAAGTGAGCACTGCTGATTCTCTTTTGCTTGCTCATCACCCTGTCTGCTGCTGCTTGGAGGTGTACACACCAACCACCCAAAGCTGAAGCTTCTGACTTTTCCAACTCTCCCTTTGACGTTACGTTACCTGTGTGGTTTAAAAAAAAAAAAAAAAAAAGTTATAGCAAGCCTAAAACCTGCCAGAATCCGCAAAGCCACCTTCACCTGTACTGCTTTCTTTGTAACTTTTACCTGGGGTGTCTCCAGTTGCGCTCCAAAGCTGTCACCTGCAGGCATACTGTATGTGTCACCGAGAAGGAGAAGAGAGTTAAGGTAGTATTTAAACTCTGCATGAGCTTGCTTTGTTCATCAAAGGAATATCCTGTCTCTGTTTTGAAATACAGTAAGTGATTTCCCAGAAAAGTTGCCATTTTGCAGACGGAGTGTGAGTCCTTTTCACTTTTGAAAGCCAATGGAGAAACGAAGTGCCATGGATCTGTCCTTGAGATTTAGCTTTGTCTCATCCTGAGAAAGGGCACTTTAAAAGGCCAAGTCCACTAACCCTATGCAAAGGAAATAATTTCATTTCTGAGTGGAGATGGGGCTCCTGTGGGCTCCATCTGTCTCCTGATGGAATTAGTAACCGCGCTCTTATCAATTAGCAACGGGGAGGCATTGGGCTTCCAAAGGCCAAGCTTATCTCCGCTCGGCTTGAGGTTTCGGTAGTTGTGCAGCAGCCAAATTGAAATATTTTTAAAAGAGTCTGTACATGCTAGTTCTGGTTGTGTAACGGTGGCTCAGCTCTCTCAAGCAAACAAAGCAGCTCACGAGAGGAGGGTTAGAAGTGCTGGAGACACCTGCAGCCTTTGTTGCAGCAGGGAGCCAGTGCTTGGGCAGATAGAGAATATATCTGCTTCTGGACGCTCCTTGGGTAAAGTTTTGGACTATGCATGGAAAAGAAATATGGAATTACTTTAACTAATGGGAGTGCCCCAGTCCTGTCCGCCGAAGCCTGGGGTGCTCTGCCCACGGACCAGCTACGTTGCACTAAGCAGGTCCTGGCGAGTGCAAGAACATCTAACAGCAATATGCAGCTCTGAAGTGTCTCAGAAGCAGGTGTGCAGTAGGAATGGTTTAGATATTAGCTTATTCGACTCCTATTAATATCCGTTATAAGGAATTCTTTGCATCTTATGTTTGCAGTATTGCCTATCAAGATAAAAATCAGATGAATTTACTTCTTGGGGACGTAACTTCTGATCTTGTGACTATCCTAAAGCACTCCATCTGTATAACTCATTTTCATTTCTGTGAATATCCTTTGTTAATTCTGTCCTTGACCTGCTTTCTCTTCCTTTTTTTATTTCCCCAAGCAGAACTGGTTGGAAATATTTCAAAATGTAAGTGAAAAACATAAAGTGTTTTCTGAAATACAAATGTTACCCATTTCCTGACCAGTTCCACCATAGATGCTGTTCTTTCAAAGTTTTCCTTTTTCCTCCCATTGCTTTAAGTGATATTTTTTTTTTTTGCCCCTTTCCATAGACTTCCCTGGTTCTTCGCTGTCTTCCCTCTTTGCAGTCACTCCCTGTGGGAATCTAACCCCATAGCAGCATAACGTCCCTCAGGACATCACCTCCATAATCCCTGGCCCCTTTCATTCTAATTTTTGTGCTTTTCAAAAGGAGTGGGACCTGGAGTAAGAGCCTCGGGCAGAGGTTTTGAATCTGAATTATCATCCCTTTATGTAAAAGCAAATAGTAGAGGCCCAAGAGAGGGGCAAATTAGCCAGGTCTTCCTGGCACATGGTTGCTCTGCTCTCTGGAACTGTTGCTTTCCTTTTACTGATAATCTCTCAGAGCAAGCTGAAAAATCAGAGTAGATTTAGTAATGTGAAAATAGGCACCTTGATTTAAATCCAATCTGTTAGAAGCCTTGCTAGTCGGTAAGAATCCCTTTTGACTTCCCACCTATTATTCTGTCCTGTATAAGTTTCCTTGGAGCAAAAATTTATTGCTGGTATTATATAGAAGATTAGTAGCATGAGATTTTATTGAGCCACATTGCCCTGACTATTAGTTGCCTAGTAAAATCAAGTAACTTTAATTTTATGCTAATTTATGATAATTTTGAGCATCTTTAAATGTAAATTTAGCCTAAAAGTGAAGGATCTGTCACTTAAAATGCATCACATGCTTCCTTGTAATGAATGATTTTAAAGAGTTGGTTATAAATTCACCTTACAACTAGTTTAGTATGGATGATTTCTTCTTTTAAGCATTTGGCATCCTCTAATGACAACCCCTGCAGTGGCAAACCATCACAGAGTAAATGCAGCTGGCTTGCTGCACAATCATGAATGACATTGCATTTAGTTATTAATAATTGAAGGAGCTTTGTGCGCTCCTTCTGGGTTCTGTATATAATTTATGGATCATAAACCTACCCTAAAATCTCAGAAAATAATTTTATTGAGAAAAGAGATTGGCAGGAGGCTTTCTTTGCTAATAACTGGGTCTTTTATTATATGCATTTCTCTTAAAATACTGTAAATAAGAACATTTAGAACTATTTATTAATTTGCTATCTTTTGGCATTGTCTTAACACTGATCCTCAAAGCCCAGTTTTGTATTTTAGTGAGCTCTACAGACAGGAGCACTGGGATAGATAGGACCTGTGGGATTATATACCACTCTTACATTTTTCACCTTTCAGCCTTACCTTTCAGAAATGGATAATACTCTCCTGTTTCTTCTGTAAAGCAACCAGACCTGAGGTCCATTCCCTGAAACCTAAAGCACTTTCCCATTATTTAAGCAGAAGGAACAGTAATGCTCTGGACTTGCCACTGTGCCATTCCTCTTAAGAAATAACTATGTTCAGCGTGTGCTTTCAGGAAAAGCTCCTAATCCAGCACTACCATGAATGTATGAAAATACTATAGTGAGAGTGAGAAGGTGACAGGACTAGATTTTCAAGTGGTTTGTTGTGTGATAGTTTAAACACTTTTACACTGCTTTCCTGACAGAGGTTCAGGGCCAGGGACCAGGGAGAATTCAGTGATGACAAGTCCTGAGCATCTTCCCTCCTTTCTTCTCAATAGGAATTAAACAGTGCACAGGTACAACCCAACCTTTAAAAGGCTGGCAGGCATTTTGTTCTGTGTTGTAAAGTCAGTGGCAATGTTCCCAATATTTTCCAATGCAGAAGGGGACGCTGTTCTAAATATTATACCATGCTGCAGTAGTTCCACAGTGCTGAGTGCCATAAAACCAAAAGGGAAAATGACAGCTTCCAGAGCAAAAAATGACTTTTTATTTTTAATTCTTTGTTTTAATATATTGTTGGCAGCTAGTGTTTTAAGACGATATTATTTTTAAGATTTTTCAGACACTGATAACAATCAGAAATGTGACTGAATTACTACCTTAGTGCTATATGTAGTTACTCACAGTGCCAGAAAGAGTGGAAGCTGGTTCCTGGTGAAATATTTCCTATCTTTCAAACAGTAGAGCTGCAAAAGGGTCTCAAGAGAGGAAACAAAAACAGTGCCCCAAAAAGATACTATTTTTGGTAGGATCATTTCGTGTGAAAAAGGGGAGAGAATGTATGTCCAGGTCATTAGAATGTATTTAGCACCTAGTAAATACAGTAAGTGATTGTTGTTTTTTACCTTTATAAAGTGTAAGCTTTTAGTTGAAATGTAAATCAGGACTGCTCAGACATCTTTGATTTGTGACATCTACTTGCTCCTGCCTCCTGTGCTGTCGTGTTTCTTTTGGTTTGCTTTGTGTGTAGAGTCCAGTTCGTAGGCAAGAGGGCTTTGAAACTGCCCTGGAGAGGCATTATTTTAAGTTATCTGTCAGTTAGTTTTGCCACTTGTGCTTAAGCAGGAATACATCTCTGTAGTTTCTAAGACTTATTTCAACCTGTTTTTGCAGGAACGGAATAACAAATTGCCGGATGCGGACGGAAAGCGAACAGTCGTGTGGCTCTCCAGTCGTCAGCGGTGACCCCAAGGAGGATCACAACTACAGCAGTGCCAAATCTTCCAACCACCGGAGCACATCACCTGCTAGTGACTCCATTTCCTCTTCCTCTGCTGATGACCAGTATGAATTTGCAACTAAAGGTAGCCAAGACAGCAGCGAGGGCAGTGAAGTTAGCTTCCAGAGCCACGAGAGCCATAGCGAAACAGAAGAGGAGGACAAAAAGCAAAACCGGAAGGAGACCAAGGATTCTTTAGCTGACAGTGGGTATGCATCCCAGCACAAGAAAAGGCAACATTTAATGAAGGCGAAAAAAGTACCAAGTGACACACTGCCTCTTAAAAAGAGACGTACAGAAAAGCCCCCTGAGAGCGACGATGAGGAGATGAAAGAAGCAGCAGGATCTCTCCTGCATTTAGCGGGAATTCGGTCCTGTTTGAACAACATCACCAATCGGACGGCAAAGGGGCAGAAAGAGCAAAAGGAAACCACAAAAAATTAGAACAAATCAATGATTTGTTTGAACTTACAAAGTTTTGTTTCAGCACGTCAGGTGAATTCTAATGATTTGTGGCAATATCAGCATTTTTTTCTTTTTCCTTTTCTTTTTCTTTTCTATTTGTTTTTCTTTCTTTTTTTTTCTTTTTTTTTTTTTGGACCCTTGAGATTTTTATTTTTAAAGGAGATTGAAGCCATAGAACTCATACTGACACTCAGCTAATTTACAAAAGCTTTTCATTACCTGAAGACAAAACGTTAACAAGCAAACAAAAAAAAGCCAAAATCGCCATTGCTTTCTCCGGCTTGTCAAAAATGCATGGTTGAATACGCAGTGACATCAACATTAATGTGATGGGAGTAAAATTGGGCACTCGGAAATCCCTCTTATGCTAGAAGAGATGTGCGTAATTTAGTGATCATTCAGGCCTGGCCCTTAAGATTTTTTTTAATGGCCTTAGATGGGGTTATAAGTGAATGTGAATAAAGAGATCTGGGGGAAGGAGGAGACGTACTTCCCAGCACCAAACCAAGAACCGTCTAGTGGCACTTGGATGCACGGGGCCATAGAAGTCTTTGGACAGCCACTGGTGGCAACTGCGCATACAGCGATGCACGTCTAGTGCTTCATGTCCTACACGTGGCTCCTAATGTGAAGACTGATCCCTGTCAGCCTGGGGAAATTTGAACTGTGTATGCAATGGGTGTCAGTGACATATGAGAAGAAGTGGGGTGGGGGACACTGCCAGTAGTCTCGTTAATCACTGAATTCTGTCTTCTATATTAAATTAAAAGAATGTTTAAAAAGCCATAAGCCTGAAGATTGGCACTGCGTGCAAAAAAAGAATATGGAAAAACAAGCTATGTCTTCTAAATCTGCCTGGGTGAAAAGCAATCAAGTGTAAGAAATTACAGTAAATATTAAGGGAGGAAATAAATCAGAATCTTTTTCTGTGGATCAAAAATACTTGATCTAACTGAAAAAAACAATGCTACATAACCTGCCATTAGTATATTACGATGTATTTAAAAAAAAAAAAAGGGAAGAAACAAAGCATATTGGTGGATAGCAAAATTAAGAAGTAAACAAAAGAGCTCCTACACTGCCCTCAGAAATGAGTGTGCAGTTCATGTCAGTCAGGATTCATCTGTGCAAAAATGACAACAGATTTCCAGATTCAGCCAGCGTAGCCAGCAGAATAAATTTGATCCACATTGCATGGATTTCCTTTTTGGGAGGGGGGAATACAAAAAGCAAACAATTTTTTTTTCTAATTCAAAGATGACAAAGTTATTGTAAGGTAAATAATGTATTTAGCATGAAGCATGAATTATTTTCATATAAATATAGAAAATAGAGAAAAAGGCTATGCCTCTACTTTTTAAGCCCTTAGGCTTAGAGGTTGTTTTTTTTGTTGTTGTTTTCTTTTTCATTTTGTTTTTGTTTTGTTTTTGTTTTAGTTCTTTTTTTTGTTGTTGGGGTTTTTTTGAAGCAGGTGTTTAAGGTTTAACCTTCTTCAGGGACAAACACTGACTGTTGGGGAACTTACTCTGCAATATTAAAAAATAAAATCTTCATGCTCTGGTAGGGCTTGGATGGTTGAATTATACTGCCTTGTCTGCACATTCAGCCCCCCTCTCCCTACTTCTGTTTAAAAAAAAAAAAAGTGTGTCCTTTCTTCGTCTGTACATGTGTAACATGACGCAATAATCTGAGGGCAAATTTAGTAGTGAGTGTGTATGACAGAATCAAGAGAATAACGGGAGGTGAAGTGAGGAAAACTCTGATTTGATTCAGGAATAAGTAGATGAGAAAATAGCTTTGCTAATTTGCCATGAGAAGATGAAGCTGGTGAGGAGCCTTACTGAGGTGAGCGGAGCCAGGGCAGCGCTGCAGGGAGCGCTGTGCAGGTCCAGGGCTGCTCTCCTGCTGGAGAGGACTGGGAGATGGGAGCAACCTCCGGCAGAGGGAGGCTCTGCAGGCAGCAGTGCAGTCTCTCTCACCTGCATTCATGAATTCGGCATGAAAATTTCTACACTTAGAATATCCTAGAGGCAAGAAGAAAGTCATAGGGGCTGAAACCCTCTACCACTTAGCAGAATAAAATGATCTGTTTCTTTGAAAGACTATCCCTGGCAGAACCTTTTTGGTCAGCAGTTTCACTGAGGTGGAACTGGTTTATGGAGAGTGAGCGAGAGAAGGGTTTGACTTCCCTCTCAGCGGAGTGAAACAAAACCTGCATCTGGAGACGTGTTTGCTTGTTCAGTTAGGAAGCAGAAGGACTGGAAGATCAGTCTGGACCTGCCAGTGCTCCTGTGCCCCAGAGCCACAGTGCTGCCTGGAAAACAAGAGCGCGCTGGAGGCAGCAAACCCCAACTGTGCTTCTCCTCCCGCCTCACCCAACATCTCCGGGGACCGAGTGCTGCCTGGGCAGGAGAGAGCCAAGGATGGTGCCAGGAACAGCTTGCCCAGGGCCAAGGTGTGTGGGCTTTATTCCCTGCACAGGTGACAGTGGGAGCAGAGGGATGTTGAAAGGGAAGCTGTGGAGGACAGGAAGGAGCAGTGCTTTGGCCAGGTAGCACAGAGGTGCCTGGGCTGTGTCTTTTCCTCTGGAGGAAGCCCTTGTGTGACTGCATGGGGTAAGGGGCTTGGTGCGCGGGAAGCCTGGCTCCCCTCCCGCTTTCCCGGGCCGCGGGAGAGCCGTTCCAAACAAAATACACAGCATCAGCTTGCTGCCGACTTCATCGTTCACGCATAAGTCATTGCAGCTGGAAAATGTTCTGATGTTCATCAAAAAGCAACGTTTAAAAGTCAAATTTAGTGGAATATACTCAAAATGGGGCTCAGCCCTCCCTTCCTCCAGAGAAAAGGATGTGGTTGTGGCACAGCACTGATTCCAGAGCGGCTCTGTGCACTGCAGTGCGTCAGCGCAGGAGGTCAGGATCTGCTGCATGATAAGTACCATTCATTAATGTGGACTCTTGGTGGCTAAGTGTGTATTTACCACTAGTATTATTCACCTTAGAAAACAGTCATTTTGCATAAATATCTAATTAGGCAGCTTATTTTAAAAAGATATATATATATATACACATATATATACACACATCTATAACAATCTAAGACTTCAACACCTCCTTTATTTACCTCCTAATAAAATGTTGTCAAGCTTTTTTTTTTTTTCTTTTTTTTTAACGTACAATTTTGTGTTCCCAGCCTGGTCTACTAAGGAGATCCTCAGCAGGCTCTTTTAAAAATATGTTGAGGAACCAGCGGTTTGGCTGAGTACTAATGCCATCTATAGATGATTTCTGGAGTTTAAAAGCTGACCCTTACGCTAACTATTTACAATAAGTACCTGATTTCGGATCTGGATTTGTGTCAAATGTTTGTGAGTCACCTCTTAAAGTATTTTAGTGCCTGGCTGACAGCAGCTTTGTCAGAATAGGTCTTACTCCATCTGCAAAGTTCTCATGTTTCTTAAGAATTGAAACTGATTTATTTTCCAGAAAAATACAATGTCAGCCTCTCAATCTGATCATCTTTACTTTCCCTGACTAATGTCGAATCTGAGTGGTGTTGGGACTGTTTTGCAAACTCCTTCACTCCTCAGACACCAGGTGGTTTATGTTTCTTGTTTGCTTTCCTTGCTAAGCCATTTTGGGGTGAGAAGTCCTAGAATCTCTAACTTCAGTTTTCCTCACTCTATCAGTATTGCCAAATTGATGTTTTTCCAGAACAGGTAGGGGTGAGGGGAACCCCAGCAGGTCAGCAAGCATTTAATGGCGAGTTTCACATAGCTGTGAATTTTAAGGATCGCCCCTACCTCGCCAAGGGTTCCTTGGGAATATTGGAATATGCCTTTTGCAGGGAGAAGCTCTTGCAGGCGAGGGCTCGTGGCACAGGTAGATCTATCGAAGGCTGCCCGAGAAGGAATCCAGCAGTCACGCTTGCCTTCTGCAAGCAATTGGGTGTCCTGCGGAAAAATATTTTGATGTGGGCTTTGCCTGCCAAAAATGCCAAGCACGGGTCTTGAACAGCTTCACTCTACGTGGCTGTTCTTGATACCAGGTTGATGTTGATCTTCTCCTCGCAAAACCAGCAGTGAAAGTATCGATACTACCAGAGTTTTAGAGATTAGAAGCCTGGTGATGCGACGTGCCATTGAGGACGGTAGAACTATCCTGTGACTGTGTTCTCTCTTCACACTAGTAATGCAGTTGGTGTCCGTGGGGTGACTCCTCTCTCACGTTAGGGGGAGAAAGGAAGCCCGAGTAGGTGTCTTGGCTCCTGGCGTTCCGCTGAGTTACTGTCTACAGTGGGAAAAGATGCAAAGAAGCTGTGGGCTGCATTCTGCACTGGAGTAAGGTAGAGATACGTCAACATACCTCAGCAGAGAACAAAACCGTAAACTACTTCAAATGGCACCATGGTGGAATTACCAAAACAAAACTTTGTCCCATTTTCTGAGTAGCCACCGCTGATTTTCACTGAGGTTTTGGCTCCTAAATCACTGAGACCCTGATTTTTCTTGAAGTATTTCTGTGTCTAAAGATGAAGATAGGTGCATTCTGAGATTTTCTAATCTCTTAAAGTGTCTAATCTCCTTTGCCATTAGTGGAGCTATAGACACACAAGTGCTCTTGAAAATCTTTACTGATTCTTTTTTAGTTGCTACTATTACCATTTTCCCTTTAATCTGGCCCTAGGCATTTTTTAAAACATTACCCTCACATGCTCCAGGTTCAGAATAAAACCATAGAGAGAAAGCATTTGCAATTTTAGATTAAATGCAATTTCTTTCACTTCGTGGAGAATGCAAACCAAGTTCCTTCAGGTATGTCGTAACGGCCTGAAGAGCTCATTGGCATATTTTATAAGAAGCATTTTTAAACATTTTCTTGACTTTGCCACCAAAAGAGCATTTGAACCATAAATCCTCTTGATTGTAACAGAATATCAGTGTTGACCGTGTGACCAGTTAAGTTTTAGTAGTGTTCTTCACAGCCCTCCAGTAATATATCAAACACTGTTATGCACATAATGCAGCACTGTGATCTAATTTAAATAATACTTTTTTATTATTTATACTACTCTATGTAATATACATCAACACTTTGCTATATAACCTAAGTGATAACCCTCTTCTTAGTTATCTACCAAACTCTGAATTTCTGTTTGGTTTATATTGCAGTTAGCACAGTTACCAAGTTGTAATGGTGTCTCTTTTCCTTGGAAATGGAATGTGTAAGTCAAACTATACATTTTGTGTGTTTCTGTTTTAAGCTGGAGTTTATAAGGATTTACACACAACATTCGGTGTTCTGTATAAATCTG